ATGTATGACTTAGAGGGATTAAAAGATACTTAAACCAGGAATTTTTGTGGTATTCTCTAAGAAGGGTTCCTTCTCTGGATCCTAAAATTTAGAGGGCTGCTTTAGTTCTCCTTGGGACACACCATTTCCCATGGAACTAGAAATATAAGAGATTCAGGGATTTCACATTTCATACTCCACTTTTGAATTGCACCATGGAATCAGAAAACCACTATTCCAAACTTCTAGAACCTACTCAATTGAGCCTCTTCCCCAAGTCTAAGTCTAAATACGGGGCAGCATGTATTTAGGTAAAGTTTCGATGTGTGAGCTAGGAGAGGCCTTTTTTTGATGCAGGACAGAACAGGTAGAAGAAAAGGTAGTGATCCACATGCCAAGGAATGGAAGTCAGATTTCCTCTTTGTGACCATGTTCAAAGCAGAGCTCTAAGGAGTTTGAGAATTCTAAATCTGAATATGTCCTTTAAGAACATTTTGAAGAATATTTATTAAAATGGAAGAATAGAAAAAAAGAATAACCTCATAGACACAGACAATATGGCAATTACTAGAGGGAAAGAGAAGTGGGGAGAGTTAAAAGTGTGTTGTTGAAAATAGCTAAGCACTGGATCTACCATCCCTGTGTTGAAGGGAAGAAATGTCCTCCCTCCACTGCATTTGACTGATCACTTATTGGAGAAGTCTTTTAAATATGTGTACAGAATAACTTATGGGAAAAGGGGACGTTGCAAAGGCTAGGCATGGAGATCCGTGGACAGTATGCAAGGAAGCATGAGGGAGTCATTTGGTGAACTGATCAGTGGTATTCATGAGGATAATGTCCTGAAAGGGAGTCCATTTCAGATTTTTCTAGAACTATTGATTGTATTCTGCTACCACTGCTATTGTTTAACTAATTACTGATGGTGAATAAACCCAGTGATTTCCATTTACTACCCCTCTCTTCACAGTCATTATTTGTGACATTTGGCAACCTTGCCTGTGACTTTCTGTTACTGTATTTTAATGAAAAGTATCAAAATTTTTTCTAGACATTTCATCATGTTCAAATCTATATTGTTCAAAGCCTTGCAGTTTAAAAATTAGTACATGGTTGATCTGAAAAATGCTTCTAATTTCCAACAAAACACAATTTTGAAAAATCAATATTATATTAGCTCTGTGTTTAGAAAGAATGTATGACGAATTGAAAACAAACATAGCAAGAACAGCCAGAGAGAATAAGAAAGAAAAAGACATTTATACAAGGGCAAACTTTCTTGGTAAATAGAGATCTCTCAACCAAGAAAGAATAATATTTTCATTAAAAGTTAATATACCTTCATTTTGAAAAAATGCTTTTTGAAAGCCCTAGTCACACATGATTAGAAACCCAGTAGCCTAGCCCTATAGAGAAGTTATATGCTTTGCAGAGGTTGGGGGGTGGGGGTGGGGGCAGGAACAATAATATAGAAAATACTCAGAAATCTTTTGTATTTCATTAAAAAGTCTTCTATCTGATTATTTTAATAGCTTTCCTTTGACAAGATTGTGATTGTATGAAAGTAAATGGAAATGCTGGTTACATCTATCTCTCTTAAAATGATCCTCAATTCAATAGGGAGAGGTTAGACTGGAATACCCAATCAGTTTTCAGCTTTTCTGTCCCTAACGTCTCCTCTCCAGCATGCTGCTAACTCACTACCCCATATGAAGTAACACCTATTGTAATGATATGAAGAATACTTTTCCTCCTAAGTCTTAGTCTTTAAAACAAGGATCTATTTATCATCTTTCTATATTGTGTAAGGCAGCCGTGGGCAAACTACGGCCCGCGGGCCGGATCCGGCCCGTTTGAAATGAATAAAACTAAAAAAAAAAAAAGACAGTACCCTTTTATGTAATGATGTTTACTTTGAATTTATATTAGTTCACACAAACACTCCATCCATGCTTTTGTTCCGGCCCTCCGGTCCAGTTTAAGAACCCATTGTGGCCCTCGAGTAAAAAAGTTTGCCCACCCCTGGTGTAAGGCTTTTTAAAAATTCCAAACTTGTACCAGAATGACACTCTTACTCTTTTTCTTTCCCCAAGAATTCTCTTTCTTGGACATATGCTCACTTACCAAGCCGACCATCTTCTTAACATTTACCCTTTCTTCATTCAGAAATAATTTTCATTACATTATGCAATTAATTGTGAACTGGGCAAGTAATGGGCAAGAAAGACTTTTTGAGGTGTAGCTGGTCAGCAGTTATTCAGGTTTTCTAACTAGGTAACCATCCTACCCTCCACCAAAGCTGCAATTAAAATTTCATCAAGTCAATTTGCAACAAGTCAAAATATGAGTAAAAAGGATTGAATCTGTCTCTGTACATATTTTTCCCTCTATCATGACAATTAACATCCCTGAGGTTCTCTTTGATGATAAATAATCTTCTTCAACTTGTGCTGTAGTGTCAGTGTAGTATCACTTTTCCTGTCCCTTGTTACTAAATGACTTGCAGATATGCTGCTGCAGTTCAACAGAACACATTCTTTTGAATAGTGATTTACATAAATTTTTATGCTTATGTTACTCCATGGCCAGACATTTTTTTCACACTGAGTACATTTAAAGAGACATATACCCAGAAGTGTAGCAGCACTGGCTTTCTGATGGCAGGTTTTGCTTTACCTCCCCAATTCGGGAAGATTAATATCAATACAGAAGCATTAGAAAACCACCACCGAAGCCCTTGATAGTCTTTTCTCTGGTTCTCTAGGTTTCCCATGACTGGTGCCAGGTCCAGTCCACAGTACATTTTGGCTTACTAAGGCATGAATAAGATATTGGTTCCTCCACAGTCCAGGGGTCCTCAAACTTTTTAAACAGGGGGCCAGTTCACTGTCCCTCAGACCGTTGGAGGGCCGGACTATAGTTTAAAAAAAAAAACTATGAACAAATTCTATGCACCCTGTACATATCTTATTTTGAAGTAAAAAAACAAAATGGGAACAAATACAATATTTGTATTTGTATGTGGCCCGCGGGCCGTAGTTTGAGGACCCCTGCGTCACACAGTCAACCGAATAGGAAACTCACAAAGGGAAAATATATTTATCAGAGAATCATAACTAATAAAAAACCTGAAGATAATCTGTAACCTCTTATCCTAATTGTTAAGATAACCCTATAACAGGGGTGGGCAACCCTTGGCACGCATGCCAAACATGGCACGCCAGTAACTTTTGCTGGCACGCGAAACCCTCTCTTATAATCTTCCATTTACAGTTTTTTTCTTAATATCGACTTTTTTATTCTTCAGATAAATTCAGTGTAGGTGCACCTTAGGTAAATAAATAATTTTCCATAACAAGTTATCTTAAAGACCATAGACATGGATTGACGAGAGAGGGGAAGAGCAATTTCTATGCCTCTGCCTTAACTCTCCCTGCCTTCCTAGATCCGACCAGTGTTTTGGTTTCATCCACATACACTTGTGAATCTTTGTTCTCAGTGATGAATTTTGTTAAGTCTCGTAATAGGAGTAGCCTGACGGATGAAAGTAGTAGCTCATGCATATCTCTGAAGGTCACGAAATATAAACCTGATGTAAAATCTCTGTCATCAGTGATGCAGCAGCAAAAGTCCCACTGATAATATCAAACGGAGTCATAAAGTTTTCTGTCGGACTATCAGTGTACATGTATACATTAAAAAATAAATGTATTTTTCATCATCATATACTGTGTTTTTGTCACTCGAATGAATTTTATTATTTCTTCAAGGTTCTTCACATACATACACCTTAAGAGATATCAAGTAGGCGTAACATGTTCTCAAAAAATTAGGGTTGGCACGCAGAAGAATTTTGAGTCAGAGATTTTGCTGGTTGCCCTCACAAAAAGGTTGCCCACCCCTGCCCTATAATAATTGCTGTTGAAGGATGATCTCTATAACTCTAAGTTATATAACACTGATATTAAAATATAGCCAAGTGAATATTTACTATTATTACAAAGAAAATATAATCATGTCAATGTTTCAATGGGAAAAAATTTATTAGCATGAAATAGGGTTCTTTCAGATATGAATTCACAACCTCTTATTGGAATTCAGTTTTTCTGGTTTATAAGGTGAGAAGGGGGGTAAACTATATGTTACATAACTCTCCATAGAGGTCTGAGATGTTACCCTGTAATCTAGGGCATAAATATCAGTGCAAAAAAAAGTTATGAATAGTTGCAATAAGTGGGGTAAAAATCATAGGTAGTGTTACGTAATTTTCAGGGCTGTACATGATGAGTTCCAATATCTTTGGTTTTCAGACTTTCAGATTAAAATATTGTGAATATTTACCATCTCGGGGCAGAATACAGAGCCAGCTGCCCATGAAATAGTGTAAATTCCTTACTTCAATAAGCTTTCACTAGTTGAAGGTGACATTACAATTTATTCCTGGGCAACAAAACCATCTATAGCAAGTTTTGTGAGTTTCTTTTAGGTGGTTTATGAGTGAAAAGTTTTGGAGTTATTGGAGATGACCCATTGGTGTTTATGAAAACCCTCATTTAGATTTATTTTCTTTTTAAATAACCAACTTGTTAAATTTTTAAAAGGTTTTTTAATTAACATAAATGTTCATTGAATCAATGAGTAAATGAACTAATAGGAATCATTTGTGACAGTTGATCATCAAAGAATTTTTGAATGTAAAAGATTAGGGACAGAAAGGACCTTCTTCTACAAATTAATAAATAGTCATAAAATGTTTATGAAAATGGAATTTTCTCTGTTTCACCTTTGAGACTATGACTAAGCCTGCCGTAACTTTGCCATAATTTTGACAAGAACTACCTAATTCTAAGTTTAGTCACCAACCCATGGGAACTGTAAACTCTGTTTGGAGAAGTAATATCTAACTAAAATGTGGTTAAAAAATAGATTTATGGGAAACCAAAATTCTAGGTCCCCAGGAAGTTTGTTATAAATTTTCTACATTTAAATTTACATCATGGAAATTTCTCATTGTTTTATAGGGTTTTGAAAAACTTTGCTTATTTTTAAATTCTTGCCAAAGGAAGAATCCTGTCACATTATTAATACATCAAACAATCCTAAAGGAAGACTTCTATATCCATTGATATATCACAGTGCTTTTGGAGGGCCAATGAAAACATTGTTAGAAGAGCAGTGTACATCAGTAAACAAAATATTTTTGTCTTTTCTTTTTTGTATAATTTACAATGTTTCTCCCTTTTTAGCATACTTTAAACTTATCTTTGGACAGTTTTATGTTTTTCAAGATAAATTCTGATAAAGGAGTCATAGAAATTCAAGGATGTCTAGCAATGATTACTCAGTCTTATAAAATTTTGTATATATGCTAAACAAGTAATGTTATACTCTATCCCATTTAGTGAAAATGCATCTTTCTTTTTTTCTCCTTTAATATAAAGTCTTAGTAAATATACCGGCACTTATCCTCTTTATATTCTTAATGGATGTTCAGTCTATAAATAGCTTTAGCTTAGTTTTCACTTGTTCTAAGTATCATAAAGTGGAATTACACTTGCAATTTTTATGCTACTTTTATTAGTTCTAAGCATTTTAGTGAGTTTGTTAATGTTAAAATGTAACAAATGAAAATTTTATAGTAGTTAATAAAACAGGAATTTTATTGATATATAAAATTCTTTTTAATGCCAAGCAGTTGTTTTTTTATTAGGCAATTATACTACATTATGGTTTTTCTTCTCATTGTAATAGAAATATACTTGCATAATAAAATGCAAAAAGAAAATGAAATCATTCATAATTCTACCCATACACAACTACTTTAATATTTTGAAGAATTATAAATGTGCATATAATCATCATAATTTCTCATGCAAACTGAGGGAGATTGGTGGGTGTTCTTCAACATCCTGCCATGTCTGATTTTGATGCTTCTCCATCTCTTCAAATTGTGTTTTTTGCCTTTTGCTATGCCTTGCAACTTTTTCTTGGTATCTGGACATGAAGTATTAGGTAACAGGAACGGCTGCGACTTGTCTCCTCCTGACAGCTTCTAGTAAAATGTGAGAAAAGAAGTGACTTAAAAACAGAACTGTTAATCAAAAGAGATTAAGAACGGAAAACTTTGGAAAATCTCATCCTATCTATGCTGCAAAAAAAAAAAAAAAAAAAAAGCTATTTGGAAGAGAACACTAAGAGTGTGCCTAAACAGCCCTTTGGTAAGACAGCTAGTATGGGTGCAGACCACAGACTTAATCAAACATTTCAGCAGGAAAATAATCCATTTGAACTGAAGGGGAAGGAAGCAGAGACAAATAAAGAGAGATCGTTGGAGAGGGCCATAAAACTACCTGGTTGCAAAACTGCAATATTCTTCAAGACAAGGGAAGAAAGGCTCCAAAAGTGATTCAGTAATTATAAGGGCTGCCTCCTTGGTTTCAAAAGTCAGGGCCTTTGACTGGGTTTCAACAGGCCAGATGACCCCAGCCCAAACTCTTTGGGCAGGATGTCTGCACACCACAACGATAGGACATGGCTACCTCCACCTACATTTTAAAAGATGGAGCCACCTGGAGCTGTGGGCATGCCAGCAGTTAGAGGGCTCAAGCAAGGACAATGCCCAGCGAATCTGTGGGGGACCTGGTCGAGCCCCTGGTGTGGATGCCAGCCCAGGGGAGCTGCAGACACCTAACTTCAATCCATGAGAACTACCACATGAGCTGCACCCAGCACAGCCATGGGTCAGGACACCCTCATGTGTCTGGAAGATAAGACCCTCTTTCCATAGGTCTGGTGGGCAGATCGTGGAGTTAAAGAAGGTTATTCTCAGGCCTTAAGATTTGCTGCTGTTTGTCCTGTTAGGTTTTAATCCTGTTACCCCTTTTATCTATTTAGTCCTTTTAAAATGGGAATGTCTTCCCTAAAGTATTTCCATAGCATGGGAAATAACAGTTGAGAAATGTTGCAGTCAGTAGTGGAAAAATGTAAACTAAGGTAAATTAAAAATTGTAATATTTGTGTTTCTGAATTTTAATATTGGAAAGATTAATAAAGCAGATGCTTATTATTACATAGAGTAGTAAAGATTCCACTAAATCTAGTTAAATTATAAAAATATCTCAAATAATATAAATTTATTCACTTACATATTGTTTTAGATATTTAAGACAAGATGTTAAACTCTAGCCAAAAAGATATAAAGCAATTCCTGTTTTCAAGTGGCTTATAGTCTAGTTAGTGGAACTGGAAAGCAGTTATGGCTGTGTAAAATAGAAAATGAGAGTGCAATAGTTTCAGCTTCTTTACACCATGAGCTTCAACAGCCTGGTATTTAGTGGCCATTATCTTCTGTTTGATGAAGAAGAGATATATGCTGCATTTCAGCTTTTATTGAAATATCAGTAGGCTATTTACAGTTAATTTCTTATCCACAATAGTAATATTTACAAAGTTTTTCTGTATGTCTGTAAGTTAACACTCTTTGGAAATGCAGTGCAAGAGCATTAGGAGAACAAGAAATAGAAATCACAATATTTTAAAGAAATAGTTTAATGGAGTTCTTCTGGTAATTACCTAAGTATTCACATAAGACAATTGGATATTCAAATGACAAATAGGCAGTGAATAAAATTTTGAATAGGTCCTCACTCAGTGGATTAAAAACACCATTAGTTCATTATTCATGGGGACAGCTAGAGAAGCAAGTGCTTTTGATTGAGACCTGGGTTCAGGTATCTGTCATGCTAAACTTGTGACCTCAAAAAAGCTATTCATATTTAAGAGTCCCGGTCCTTCTTTTTAATAGCAATCAAGTCAAATAATGTTAAGAGTTATTGTAAGGCTTAATGGTGATAAGCTAAAGTAATTATTTATTAAGGACTACTTTCAACACATTCGTGTCATTAAAAGCTTGGTAGGACCTGGGGCACCAGCTCAAAGTTTTTAGAAACTGCCAATTTTATTTTTGCGCCTCCATATTTCCTTTGCTTTGACTTGTGAATTGCTAGCAAATATGAAAAAAAAGGTGTTTCCAGACCCGCCTTCCACTGCCCTCCCCATATTGGCAATATATGACATCAACTTCCATTTTGAAACTTTTGTTGAAAATAACTTGAGATTCTTTTTTTTCTTATGGAGAATTAACCAAAAAGCTCTTATGAAAGAGCATTCTCAATGAAAATGCGGGCCTAGCAAGGTGAAAAAGGCAAAAACAAAAATTCGTCACATGCCTGACCTTTGTTCCTGTCTCTTCCGTTTCTCCCAGTAACATACTTAAAAATCCATCCTTGTCAATAAGATATGTAATTGGAGAACACTGTGTCCTCTGGTCAATGATGGATGAGCTTTATAGACCCGTTGGTTCCTTCTAGAAAGCAAATCTCAAATTTTGAAAAACTTGGGACTCCTTCTGCATATAAAATTATGGAATACAGGTACTGGAGGATCTCTATCCTGTCTAAGCTCTTCATTTGAGAGAGATAATATGGAACTAAAATTCAAGGAACCCAAGCAATCATCCTAACATCAAACAGCTAGTATGAAAGGGATCTAAACCCATGTTTTATTTATGAGTCTAGCATTCTTTTACTTAACTATTAAGTATAAATGCTATAGTTTACTATTTTAAAAAATGTGAGGATAATAAATAAGAGAAACAATATACAAAACATAAAATTGCATGTGTATTTTCCTGAATAAGTTATATTTTTCTTTCTCACATGGTCTTTTCTTTTATTATAAAAAATGCCTTCTGAATTTAGAAATTGATCTCTTTATATTCGAGACATGAAATGTTTGTTAATATACTTTAATGTCCAGATGCTTTTTCAATATATTTATTTATTATGGAATAACTAATACATACAAATTAATATTTTAGCAAATGTGTGTGTGTGTGTGTGTGTGTGTGTGTGTAATCTTGAAATGAATACTTGAGAGCCCATCACCCAATTTTAGAATTATTCCTGTTTCCCCATGTGCCCTTCCTGGACCCCAGTTCCTTCCTCTGTCTCCCTTTACTCAAGAGATAATCATTATCCTGAAGTTTTGTTGTTGTTGCAATTATCCTTTGGCTTTTCTTCATAGATTTATATACTATTTGTTGTTGCTTATTTTAAAAAAAATCTACATAGGTATTATTTTATGTTGTATATTATTGTGTTGCTTTATTATATTCCTTTTACTTAATAATTTGCTTCTAAGATTCATCCATAGAAATGTTTTATGATATTTAACATATAAAATAGGAACAGAAATTTACAGACCATATTTGCCATCCAAAAATGTATGTTAAGATCAAAATTTGTTGACGTGCATGAGATGAAAAAAATTTAAATACTAAAATTATTTGCAAAGCATAACATCTTCATGTTGGTGAAATTTAAACACTCTTGGAAACACTTGGAAACTAAAGCAATACAATTGAGCCTAATGTCAGTTTGTTTTTTATTAAGTCTATAAATGGTATTAAGTAGAGATATCATTCATGTTTGTTTTTTATATGGATAACTAATTTTCCCAGTGTCTTACTGACTAACCTTTCTCTCTGATAATGTCATTTCTTTCTTAATCCTTCCTTTTATGTACTGTTTTTTTATCTTAGACAACTCATTTGACTTCTCACAGATCCTGTTTCATGCACAAGCTATGGGGTTGAGTTTTAATAATATTTATGTCACATTTATATTTAAAATTCAGTGATTCTAATGTCTCTGTGTTTACTTTTCATTCTCAAGATGGAAATGGAGTGGAGTTATGGGCTGAATGTGTCCCTCTCAAAGTCACATGCCCTCAGTACCTCAGAATGTGATATTTGGAGATAGGATACTTAAAAAGGTAATTAAGTTAAAACGATATCATTAGGGTAGGCCCTAATCCAGTATTACTGATATTCTTGTAAGAAGAGGAAATTTGGACACAGACATGTACAGAGAAAAGACCACATGAAGATACAAGGAGAAGATGGCCATCTACAAGCCACAGTGAGGTCTCAGAAGAAACCAATCCTGCCAACATGTTGCTCTTGAACTACCAGCTTCTATAACTGTGAGAAAATAAACTTCTGGTCTTTAAGTCTTT